TTGGTGTTGGATCAACTAATAATCCCCTAATTAATATCTTTATTCTCATAACTTGTCTGCTTAATATCGTAATAATATTATGAGGAGAAATTCTGTCTTGGTCACTTAAAAGGAGTTAAAGGATTAGGGGACATTTAACCTCCCATTAGCTCTAACCTGGCTATCATTTCTCATTTCTTTAGGTTGACAAGTGGAGCTCATTTCGCACTTGCAATCATTATTATTCTTTCTTAATGTTTTTACTTGTTTTCTGCACTGACCTTTATCTTTAAAATACTGGAGGAAGCGTTCAAGCAAATAGGTGAGATGGAGAAACTGTCCGCCATGTTGCCAGTCTAGGCTATTTTGGCAAAGAAGCTCCAAAAGCAAAGAGTCGCCGTCAATCAGGAAAATCTCCGCGTCAACAAAGTCCGTCAGAATGTTGAGATATCTGTAAATTCATTAAGAAAATGTTTACCAATTTGGAATTAAAGGAGGTCGAACAGGAAATTTCACCCACACTGCTTATTTAAGTATGCGCGACTCGTGCTGTAGATAAATCTTATACATTGTCTATGCGTATGGCCTGACTCGTCGAGGAATTCCCTGAGTAAAAGCAGAATCAAATTGTAAAGCATCACGAACAATTTGAACAGTGTCGAAGATGTTTAAGGGAAGTCACTAATTAATTCATATCTCACTCACATGTAAGAAAAGAGAGAGGAATGCGAATTTGTGACACTAGAGTTGAAAAAGTTGAAAAAAACACCTTGTACCATACTTACTGTGGCCTAACTTTGGGACCGTCATAAAATTTACGAACACGGCGCATATTCATGTCAATGTTCATTCTCGGTGTAGGATCATTTTCATCAGAATCTTCTGCCGTTGGCTTCTCTGAGGCTGCAACTTTAATAATCAGGGAAAAGTGGGAAAAATCATAGTTACGTTTGTTTAAGGCCCCTGTCGTAACGTGATGCTTGTGGGAGCAGCTGTGTACTTGTGACCCAACCTCCAGGGTAGCATTCCAAAGTTTGCAATAAAAAAACCTAAATTTTCACTTCTATTGGAACACATGACAGTCATATGGTACTCTGGATTTGACACGATGTTACCCTCCACCCACTTTGAAAAATACAAGCCACGCCCTTGATGCTGAAACTCCCTTATACTATTTTGTGCAATTCTGAGCAGGCATCATTCTGAGGTAGCACTTACTCTCATCGAATAACGATTCTTCTTCATTTTCCAATTCTTCTTCCTCTTCATCGCTATCCGCGCCTTCATCTTCGAGTTGAATCTCTCCGTCTCCTCGATCCGCTGTCAAAAAAAGAAAAAAAGAAGGATGAAAAAAAAAAAGGCAGCTGAGACTTCAGACCAAAGAGCAAGGTTTCAGTCACTAGGTAATTACGATGATATTCGTGGAGTTTTTAAAAAAACCCTGTCTATTATATACCAAACATTATTATAACCGCCAAAAACTTTGCTTATGTCGCAAGCCGAAAATTCGCGGAAAATCGGATGGCTCTTTCCGAAGATTTGTCAATGTTGGATCTCGTATCATGATAATCAAAAATGGATGCCTACTTTGAGCTGCTATTACTTCTTATCGGCTAAAATTAC